CGGGCGTGCAGCAGAATGGCTGCCGGGCGACGGCCCTCGTGTGCGCCGGCACCGACGCTGCAGGAATCGCACGTATGCAGCGCGCAGCAGCAGTGGGCGCGATCGAGTTGGTCGTGGCGGCGCTGCAAGCTCACCCGCAGGTGGCAGGTGTACAGCAGTATGGCTGTTCTGCGCTGGGCAACGTGTGCTTCGGCAGCGACGCCGCAGCGAGTGCAGCAGACGCGGGCGCGATCGAGGCGATCGTAGCGGCGATGCAGGCCCACCCGCAGGCGGTGCGCGTGCAGCAGTTGGGCTGCATGGCGCTGGGCAACGTGTGCTTCGGCAGCGACGCCGCAGCGCGGGCGCGGAGGCAGCGAGCTGTGACTGCGGGCGCGACCGAGGCGATCGTGGCGGCGATGCAGGCCCACCGGCAGGAGACGGGCGTGCAAAAGAATGGCTGCATGGCGATGGCCAACGTGTGCTCCGACACCGACGCCGCAGGGTTCGCACGCATCCAGCGCGCAGCGGACGCGGGCGGCATCGAGGTGGCTGTGGCGGCGCTGCAGGCTCACCCGCAGGTGGCGGATGTGCAGCAGTATGGCTGTTTGGCGCTGGTCAACGTGTGCTTCGGCAGCGACGCCGCAGCGTTCGCACGCAAGCAGCGCGCAGCAGACGCGGGCGGCATCGAGTTGGTCGTGGCGGCGATGCTGGCGCACCCGCAGGTGGCGGGCGTGCAGGAGAATGGGTGCTGGGCGCTGTTCAACGTGTGCTCTGGCACCGACGCCGCAGCGCGGGCGCGGAGGCAGCGAGCTGTGACTGCGGGCGCGACCGAGGCGGCGGCAGGGGCTATGCGGGCGCACCCGGGCGACGCAGCTGCCCAGAGGCAAGGGCAGAATTTGCGCGATCTTCTTGCCTGAAGGGATCCGGGCCGCGCGCGGACCAAAAGAGCGGCACGACATGAACAAGACGAAGAACGCAGTAGTCTCCGCGCGTTTTGTGGGTCGTACATCTAGTCGTACATATAACATTATGACACACAAAAATGAGCTTCGGCACGAGCTGTGTGTGCTGCGAGATATAGCCTCGCGACAACGGGCCATCAGTCCATCTCAGACTCAGTGCGAATGTATCACCGGACCGAGCCCAAGCTTCGCCACCCCTACCACAAAAGACTGCGCTGGCAGCGTGAGGGAGAGCGTGCCAGCGGCCACCCGTGTCGTCGAGCCGATCGCCGTCACGGCATTGGGCTTCGCGGGACTGTTGAAGGCGGTGAGGTTGGGCGAGCTCAGCGAGCGGAGACGAACCGGTGACGCCTCCTCAAACTCTCCGTCACTCACCTCCACGCGGATCGCCAGCTGCTTATCTGAGGGGTTGACGAGGGCGAGGACAAGCGATGCCGCGTCGGCGGTGCGTAGTGCGACGGACGCGATAGGCGACACGCCGCGAAGCCAGGTTGCGTCAAGCAGCTGTAGGCTCGGCGCCCCGACCTCTGCCAACATTTGGTGGACGTGGCCAGGCGGCTGCAGAAACGTCATGTTGGGCAGGAAGAAGGCGAGGCCCTGGTCCCACGCGTCGAATTGCGAGGCGCCGCCCGAGCAAAAGGAGGCGGCGCGGCCATAGAGTCGGCGGGCGAGACTCGCGTTGGCCTGCGCGTGAATCCACGCGAGCAGATCGGTAGCCTCGTCTAGAGCTCGCTGCAAGTCGTGCGTCCCCGCATTTGTCTCCAAGTTGACGACGCCCTGGTCAAAGCCTGCGACGGGAACCCTCGCAAGCAGCGCCTCCGCCGCCGCGACGCCGCCACCCGCGCCAACATGCACGTCGGTGAGGATGCGGCTCGGGTCGAGGCCGGCTTTCAGGGCGGCGCTCATTTCCTTTGGCGGGATGCCGGTCCGCTTTGGGAACATGTACCGCAGTGGCGGCACGCGACCTCCGAGCGCCTTTGCGCGCTTCTCCATCGCCGCCACCTGCCCGACGAAGTGAGGGTTGAACTCCTCATTGCCGAGCTCAAAGGCGGTGACGTTGTAGGGGGCGGGATGGCCGTCAGCGATGCGCTGCTGGCCCCAGCTCGTCGTGGCGTCGCCCCAGCTGTACTCGACCAGGTCGGCCCAGTCGGAGGCTGAGTTGCTCTCACACGCCAGCGTGATCACCGGCTCGATGCCGAGCGCGTTGCACATATCCACAACCTCAAACGGCCCCCAACCCGCAACCACCTCGGCTGCCCAAGTGTGCCGTGCCGAAGGGCGGTTCCAGGCGGGCCCGCGCCAGTCTTTCCATCGGAAGGACTGCGAAACGGTCCCTCCGCTGCGAAGCATCGTCACGCCCATCGCACGCAGCATCCCCGCGCCGCTTTTGAGCACCGGCAGTGGACCCGCCGGTCCGCTCAGTCGCCCCCACGGTCCAGGCATCAGCTCCACGTACCCGATCCCGACGCTGGTGGTGCTGATATCTCGAGCTTGTGAGTCATGAACGCCCGGTCGCTTGCTTTGGACGCTAATCACGAGCTCGCCGCCGCAGCGCAGGCAGACCACACCGCCACCTGGGCTAGCACCGCAGTCGATCTCCTTGTCCGAACCGTATCGAATCCCCTCGCAGGCCGTGGCACGGTCCGGAGTGAGCGTCAGATTGACGCGCCCCCACATACCGAGGCTACTATGGCCGGGTCGCGCAGTCGCGCCCGCCAGCGTGACTCCGCTTGAGCGATCACGTAGTTCCTCCTTTCAGCCTATTTTGCTCCGCCTTGAAATTATTGCCCGGCGCGCAACTTCAGCTCGCGCCACGGTTGTACCCCTGCGCGCCGCGTCGTTCCCAGCCTTTCCGCTTTACGAGGCCGAGCATGGGCACGCTGCCGGTCTACGCCTACTCGCTGGCGGACGCACTCAGCGCCATCAACTACCACCCCCCCAACGAGGCTGCAAGGCTCTTCAAGGAGCGCTTCCCGCCTAGCCCAACCCATCCCCGCGCATTTGGCAGGGCCTCAGTGGATGCGCGGCGCCCACCACTAGCGGGTGAGACCCCACCTCGCCAACAGGCCGCTATCGAGGACGCCGCCGCTGAGTTTGTATGCCCGATTACGTTGGAGCTGCCGATTGAGCCGGTGACGGCAGAAGATGGCGCAATATACGAGCGCGACGCCATCGAGAAATATTTTCTAATGCGCACCTCACAGGGCCTCGCACTGCGGTCGCCGCTTACTAACAAGCCGATGGGTCAAGGCTTGCTTCCAGCGATCCAAGTGCGCAATGCCGTCGAGCGCCTGGTGCGCAGCGGGGCGGTGGGGGGGGAGAAGGCGGAGCGGTGGTTAGGTCGTCTCAAGGAGGAGGCGGTCCGGGAGCAGGAGACGCACAAGGCTAAGGCTGGCGATGTGCGCGCAATGCTGACGCTCTTTTCCCATTTCAAGGCGACGGCGAGCTCCATCGGAGTCTGCTAATTGCAGAGTCTCCATGTGTCTTCATCGGCTGTCCCTGTGCCTTCCGGCTCCTACCCGGTATTATGCTGCCGTCCAGGCCGCGCGTCCCTCGTTGCCCAGCGGTATAGGTGTAGGGCCGAGGACGGGGCGCGCCCGCGCATCGCACCTCTCTCATACCGCGGTGATCGGCACGTGTGTGACGATAACAAGACGCAGCTCGTAAAGACGCCTGCCCGACTGGGCCGCAGACTGGGGCCACTGGCACTGCATGGGGAGAAACACCGATAAAATTCTAAGAAACCCGATATGCATCATGCTTGGGTGTAGAGGAGGGGAGACTCGCCCGATAAAATTCTAAGAAGAGTTTACGCGTACGGCTGGACAATACAGAACACTCAGATACACTCAGCATTTTCCTGCGCGGCCCCCCGCATCGCGCGAGCGAACCCCGCGGGGCCCGCGCGCAAATCGCCCATCACAGCTCGACGAGCTGCTCGCGAATCGCCTCCTGCACAAGCACGATCAGGTCAAAGTCAGCGCTGCGCACGACGCTCTGCGCCCCCCGCAGCTCCAGCGTGCCGCCGTCCAACTCGACGAGAACGGGCGCCTGGCCAGACGGAGGTGAGTGTGAAGAGACGCTCATCACAGCGTGCCTCCGCCCGCTCGGCGGAATTGGGAGCCTCGTCGCCTCCGCGCGTGCGGACCGCCGGATCGAGCCCGCGTGCGCTGAGCGCCTCTAGCAGCGTGGGGAGGTCGATTCGACCTACAAGCCCGCCGCCGCCGCCGCTGCCGCCGTCGCCTCTGCCGCCGTCGCCGCTGTCGCTGCCGCCGCCGCCCGCCGCTTGGGTGGCGGCGGGCGGGTCGTTGTCTGCGAGCAGCCGCGGCGGCTCCCCCTCGGCCTCGCACAGCAGCAGCGAGGCGCGCGCGGCGCGGACGCCTCCCGCGAGACAGCGCCTGTGCACGGCGGATGTGGCGTGGAGGGGCGCTGCGCACTGCGCACTGCGCCGCGGGAGCGAGGGCCGGGTCTCGCATGCGAGTGGCGTCAGCGAGGGGCCCCGCGATGCGCGCGCTCAGGCAGGGCTGCGACGCCGGCAGGAGGAGCGTCGCGGAGGGGGCGAGCCTCCGCACGGGGGCGGCTCGTACGCGCTCGAGGGAGCGGAGCGGAGCGGGCGGCAGGACGGCGATGCGCGGCGCCATAGCCTCGAGCATCGAGTACGCCTCCACCTCGCCGGTCCGCAAGTCGAGCGGCCGGAGCAGCGGCTGCACGTGGCCGAGCGGCGAGAAGGGGGCGAGCAGCTGCGCGCAGTGCTCCTCCGGGCGCAGCGTCGGCACCGGCAGCGGCGCAGTGAGCAGCAGCAGCGCCCTCCTCCCCCGCGCCTACAGGAAGGTTCCAGGAGAGGTCCAGGACAGGTCCGAGAAGGAGCAGCAGCGCCCTCCTCCCCCGCGCCGGGTGACGCCACTCGCGCAGCAGAGCCGCGGCGGGGCCGGTGCGCAAGGACGGGTCTGGCGCGAGGACGATGGCGGGGTGGGGGAGCGGCGACGGCAGCGCGTCGAGCGAGCCGACGCAGAGGAGCCGCCCTTCCGACTGCAGCGCGTCGAAGGCGAAGGGCAGCTGCGGCTCGAAGGCGCGCTCTGCGCGGCGGCAGTCGACCCACTCGGCGAGGGAGGAGGCGTGGGAGAGGCAATCGGCGCCCACCGGAGAGACGAGGGCGAGGAGTGGCGGGCGGGCCGCGTGAAAGCGCACGGACAGCGCTCCAGCGATCGCCTCGACCAGGCCGAGCGACGAGCCGCCCGCCGGAGACCAAGGGAGGAGGACCGACATGCCGCCCGCAACGGCGCGCACCGCCGCGTCGACGACTGCGCCGACCGACTCCCCGACCGGCGCGGCGCCGGGGTGGCGGACCTCCCTCAGGAGGAGTGCGTCCGACCCCTTCAAGTCGGGAAGCAGCTCGACGCTGCGGCAAGCGCACAGCGCAACGCCGGCGGCGGCGGCGGTTGCGGCGGCGGAGGCGGTGGCGGCGGCGGAAGCGGCGGCAGCGGCGGCGGCAGCGGCAGAGCTAGCAGCGGCCGCGGCGAAGGCGTACGTTCCGTTAGCGGAACAAGAGCCGGCGGCGGGCGGCGGCAGCGGCGGCGGCAGCGGCGGCGGCAGCGGCAATTGCGGCGGTGGCAGTGGCGGCGGCGGCGGCGCGGCGGCGGCGAGAAGTGCGAAGCGGGAGCCGTTAGCATCGAGGCTCCACGCGGCGCCTAGAGTCGTCACGTGCCGCGGATCACGACAGCAGAGCAGCTCCTCCGAGACTCCTCGCGGCGCCTCCGATGGTGAGGCCAGACGGGCGCGCCATGACGGAGAGCGCGCCGTCCTCCGCCAGCCAGACGCGCTGCCCGTACGAGACGGGGGTGATGCGGGCGGCGCACGCGGCCACCTCCGCCTCCGAGTACCCTGCCATCCCGGACCGCCAAACACCATGCAGGAAGTCGGCCACGGCGGCGGGCGCAGAGCCGCCGGCGGCGGGCGCGGCCGGCGGCGCGGCGTGTGACGGCGACGATGCGTCGGCGGCTTGCATGCGTGCGAGCTCGAGCATGCGCAGCGTGCCGAGCCGCAGCGCGGCGTACGTCGCGTACACGCGGCCGCGGTAGCCCAGCCTGCGGCGGCGAGGGAGGGAGGCGAGGCGGCCGAGGTGCAGCCGGAGAGGCCGAGGTGCAGCCGGGTCTGGCCGAGATGAGGCCGAGGTGAGGCAGAGATGAGGCCGAGATTAGGCTGCGAGCCTACATGTGCGGCTGGCCCACGATATGTGTGCGACACAGAGAGGCGCCGAGCTGGCGTGTCCAGGAGGCGGGCGCGGCTCGCCGTTCGGTCAGCAGAGGCAGCGCCAGCATCTCGTCCCCGCTGCTGACGAGGACGGCAAGCACGCCGGACGCCTCGACGGAAGAGAGGCGTGGCAGAGTGAGCCGAGCGCGGTCGGCGAGGTGCCACCAGCCGTTCTGCTCCGAAGCGGGCGGAGGACGCTCTGCGTCGCCGCTGCCAGCGCAGAGCGGCTGGTAGTGGAGCAGCGAGAGCGGCTCGGCACCGTAGTCGATCAGCAGCCGCTCGCCTCCCGGCAGCCGCAGCTCCGTGCAGCGCTCGCCGCGGTGGATTAGGGAGGCGCTGGCCATCGAGAGGAGCGAGCGGCGCGAGCCGACGTCGCGGGAAAAGAATTCCTCAAACACGAACGATCCCTCCCTTGGGTTGTCCGTTTTCTTTCGACAGGAACGATTCACAATGAGACACCCACAGGACCCGAGAACACACCTTAAATCCCGAGAATCTGTGTGGGGTGGCGGCGTGCCGTCCTCCCATCCCTCCTTTGGGTGGTATGTTTCCTTTCTTTCTTTTACAGGACCCGAGAGCGGACACTACACATGAAAGCCCGACCAGGCTTCCGGAACGTAGCGGCGGATCCGGCCGCCGTCCTTGGAGTCGAGGTACGCCAGGAGCACTCTCGACCCGAGGAGCGGCTGCGACGGCACAAAGGCCGAGCGCGTGGTGCGCCCGTCCGAGAAGGCGAGGCTGACGTACACGTTGTGGAGCGAGCCCGGCTTGGCGCCGCTGTACACCCAGTGCCGGACCACCTTTGTGACGCCGAGGGCGGCGAGCGCGTCGTCGACGTGCACCTGCTTCTCGGCCTCCAGAGCAGGGCGGAGCTGCTGCGGCCCCTCCTGCCCCTCCCCCCTCCCCTCCCCCCCGCGGGAAGTCTGTGGCAGCGCACCCGCCTGGGTCGAGCAGGGCCGTGCCGACTGCTGCTGCTGCTCCCCGGGCAGCGCACGCGGGGGCGGGGCGTGCTGCAGCTCATCCTCGGGCGAGAGCAGCTGCGTGCTGAAGACCACGCCGGGGATCGCCTCGCGGAGGGGGATGCCGAGAGCATGCGCGGTGGCGGCGGGCGGCGCGAACGCGCTGCTGGCCTGGCTCGGCGCGCCGCCTGTGCTCTCGATGACATCCTCCCTGCCGCTGTCCCAAACCTCCTCCTCGGCGGCGCAGTGGTTGCGCCGGCGGTCGGTTGAGAGCTCGCAGTACCACTTTTCGCCCTCGTCGTCTAGAGCGGCGGGTAGACGGCGCCACTTGCCGCACCGGTCACACGCCACCCACGAGCTGGGCGGTGGCTCGGCTGGAAACGCGGCTCCGCGCAGCGTCACCGTCACCGTCTCGAACCGATCCGCAGCCGCCTCGATCGCCCGGTCAATCTCATCGTTGGAGAGCTCTTGCGGCGCCGAGCAGGAGCTGTGTCGCGGGTCCTCCTCGTTCTGATCGCACGTCCACGATGAGGGCAGCCTGAAGGGGCCGTGACCGGGCAGCCTCCTCCACTTGCCGCACCTCTCGCACTCTATCCACGCGTCCTCCTCCGACACGCCGAGGATCGTCCGCAGCTCGTCAGAGCTCAGCCCCGCGCGCCCCATCCACCGGAGTAGATCGGCAAGGCTCACGCGCCGCCGCCACACCCGCCCCTCACGCACGCAAGTCCGCCGGTCCGCCTCCTCCTTCCTCGCCTCGCGCACGCCGACCGCGTGGTCGCGCTGGTCGGCTGCGCAGCGCCGCGCGTGGTCGCTGAGCGACGGGTCGTCCACGACGCGCTGCAAGTCTACGACGGAACGGAGAGGCTCGAGCTCACCGCGCCGCAGCGCCTCGGCGCAGAGCTCGCCGAGCGTCGCGGCGGGCAGGGCGCGCGGCCACCAGCGGCGCTCGACAAAGTGCCAGCGGCCGGTGGCTCGCCGTTTGAAGCAGAGCGTGGCCGGTTGAGCGAGGGACGCGAGCCGCGGAAAGTCAAACGGCACGTTGCCCGCGTAGCTGTCCGGGAGGCTCGGCGCGTGGGTGAGGGGGCGGAGGCTGGGATGCGCATACGCGCGCGGCGCCCGCCACTCCGATGCGATGGAGTGACCGAGCTCGCGGGCCTGGAGCGGCGAGACCATGTTGGCGAGCCCCGCCGCCGCCATCGTGCGGTGCGCGCGCGTCTCGGCGCCGACGGGGTCGCTCTTTCTCCTTCCCGAGCAGCTGGCCACGTCCTGGTAGCCGTCGGGCAGTCCGCTGGCGCGAGCGGCGAGCCAAGGAGACAGCGCGTAGAAGGTATCTTCGTAGAAGAGGGCGACGTTGAGGCCGCGGTTGTAGGCTGGCAGGCCGCCAAAGACTGCGTCGATGCCCCGGTTGCGAGCGGCGTAGCGGAGCTCTCCAACGCCCGTCGTGAAGCTAAAGACCGGGTGGTCAGACGCAGCGGCGCACTCTCTGCGGCGCTTCTTCCCCGCGCCCGTGCAAGCCGCGCCGCGCGCCTCCGTCTCCTCCGCGATCGAGCAGGCCGCGCCGCGCGCCTCCGTCTCGGGATTAGCAGGCTCGTCGCTGACTAGCCGCAGCAGCGCCGCCGCCGGGTGGAAGGCGCCTCGAGTGTGCACCGAGAGGATGCGCGAGCGGCGGTGCAAGTCCCCGGCGGCGGCGGTGGGCATGACGACAAAGGCGTGCTCGGTGAATCCGAGCGCCTCGAGCTCGGCCACCCACAGGGAGTAGGAGCTCCGCTCCTGCCCTTCCAGCAGGCTCAGAAAGTTGGGCACGTTCTCGAAGGCGATGACCTCCAAGCTGGGGGCGGAGCCAATGCGGGCAAAGACTCCTCGCAGCGTCTCGTCGGTCAAATCGGGGATGCCGTCCGCGTTCAAGCCCGAGTGCTGCGTGCAAATTGGAGTGACGGTGAGCATGGCCGCCGTAGCTCTGTACCGCTGCTGCTTGCGCGACTCGGGGCCCAGCACGACGCAGTCGGGGAAGCGCTTTCGCAGCACGGCGGTCGCGTGCAGCCCGCTGCTTGTGTCGTCCAGCTCCGACGCCTCGACGAGCCTCAGCCAGAGGCCAGCCTCTTCGAAGCCCGCCTCGAGCCCGTGCTCGAAGCCGCCGATGCCGGTAAACTCGGAGCAGGCCTCGACCGTGGCTCCGGGAAGCAGGCCGCCAAGCCGGTTCTCCTCGTCGACCCTCCGCGCCTGCCTCCTCTGCGGGGCCGGCTCGCTGCTGCCGCAAGCGGGCCCCGTCAGCAGCAGCACCGGCTCCGGCCTCTCTTTCGGCGGCAAGAGGAAGGGAAGCGGTCGCGGCGTTGAGGCCTCCAAACAGACGCGCCTCCGCTTCTCGGCCGCCTCCGCCTCCGCCTCCGCCTCCGCCTCAGCCGCCTTGGCGAGCTTTCGACGCCTGGTCCGGGCCCTCGCCTGCGCCTCCTGCTCCTTGAAGTCGGGCGGCTCGTACTTCTGCGGCTCCCGCACGGCCCGGGACGACGCGGCGCCCGCGCTGGTGTGATCGCCGAGCAGCGCCGCCGGCTCGACATCTCGTCCGGCCGGCACTGGCAATTTCGCCAGGCTAGGTGCTCCAAAGTGACCGGTCGCGCCTTGCGCAGCGCACTCGCTCGCCTCGGCGACAGCGTGAGGCAGGGTCGGCCAAGCGCAGGCCTCGATTGGCACGGCAGCCGCGATAGGAAGGCCGAGGATGGCAGGCGAGTCGACGACGGCCTGAACGGCCATCGTCGGCACTCGCGCCGGTGCTGCCGGTGCCGCGGGCTGCCGGTGTTGCAGCGCCAGCCGTTGCGGCGTCTGGGCCACCGCACCCTCTGCCTGCTTTCGGCTCTCCTGCGCCATGCGAGCCTGAACCATCCGCTCCAGGGCGTCGAGTCTGGCATCGAGGCTGGCCGGGCGAAACGGTACGTCTGAGAGCGAGTTGCCGACCGCTTTGACGGTTGCTCCTGGGCCCGCGGCGACGCGGGCAGCGAGGAAGGCAATGGGCGGAGGTGGATTAGCTGATGGCACGGCCGGCGTTGCTGTTGCGGTGGCGACCAGTGAGGCTGTTTGCTCCTGCATGCGCGACTTCCGGCTCGTGGCGTTCGTTCACGGCTGGCCGGCTCAGGCAGCGTAATCCGGGTTGGCCGGCTCAGGCAGCGTAAGGGTTGGCCGGCTCGGGCAGTGGAATCCGCGTTGGCCGCTCAGGCAGCGGAATCCGGGCGTCGACCGGCTCGGGCAGTGGAATCCGTGCACGGGTCGGCCGCCGATGTAAAGCCGCCGCGCCATTTCTGGCTGCTATCTACCCAACGAGGGCGCGAGATAGGATTTTCGCGTCAGTGGCGGCCAAGACAGAAACAGCGTGCTACTGTCTTGAGTGCTGGAGGCGCCCCTGATGCCACTGGTCTCAATCCGAGCCGGCGGCGCCTTCGTCCGGGCCCACGGCCGGCACGCCGTCAAATTTTCTCGCCGATCCCGCGCGCTCGGCCGCCACCGCGGCGCCTCCGAGAGCGCCGTTTCGACACGCTGCAGCCGCGGGCCGCGGCACCTCGACACACCGCCTCTCGCGCCGCCTTGAGGTGCTCCGATCGTGCACGCGGGTCGGCTCGGCACGGTGCGTGCAAATTATTGCATGTATTCGCACTCGCTGCGCCACGTATCTGCCTCTGACGGCCCGATACGCCACCCGAAGCGCCACCGGTCCACACACGCGGGGCTGCGCGACTCTCTCGCGGCCCACCGCCCTCCCACACGCCGTTCGACCTCCACACAGGCGCTCGCTCGAGCCTCGCCGTCCGGGCGGTCCTGCGCGTCCAGATCTCGGCGACCAT